AAGGCGATAGTTTTAATGTGCGATAGATTGTTGTAAAATGCATAATTTGCCACGGCATTACAACCACCGTAAGCGCATTGTCTGCTTTTAAACATATTAAATCAGACTGTCTTTATTGCAAATCAGGAAAATGAATAATTTTGATCATGATATACGGATGACGGTTTCCTCTATCAAAACCTGTATATTTCAATTTCAAATCTCATTCTACAATTCAGTCAAATCAATAGTTAAATCTCACTTCAATGCAATTAATCATAGTTTCTGAAAACCGTTGAAACTATCATGGCGACGAAGTAGAAAAGAAAGGAACACCAAAGAAAGGGGATGAAAGATCTTCGTCTAGCTCGCGCGTCTTAGCCAATCACCGGGCACGCGACACTTCCGAAAACGGGCTACGATTCGCCAAACCGTCCCCTCCAAGGACGATGTTCGCGCGACGGGCCCTTCGACCATCGATCGCGCACGAAATTTGTCACTCTTGATCGATCAATCGTAAGTACGTGATCGGGAGCCCGTGTGTCCAAGAGACAGAGTTATTCGGAAGTTCGCGATATTTTCTCTGCGGTAAAGTCCTCCGCGTAGCAAGGCAGAGTGCCGCGGTAGTTAAAATAATCGGAATTCTGAATAAGGACTCATAGACGCGCACGTAAAATCTTTCTTCTACCTAAATTTCTATCTTTTGTTTCTGATTTTAAATTGTTTGCTCGCGTAATTCTCGTATTAATTTCATTCCGCGTAAATCATATATTGTTTCTGTAATTAATTATTTTTCGTTATTCGTTTGTCTCTCGTCGACGTACTCGTCCGTTTTAATTCGTTTCCGCCGCGACAAGTGCAGTGATCGACATCTTACCGCTTCTTTGGTGTTCCAGATCATCAAGCGAACACACACAGATATTAGCAAACGAATTATCTTGTATTTTATTGTACAGCATAACGGTAAGTCGTTTCAATTACATTTTTCGATCATGATGTTTATCAATTGGCAAAACGGGGGATCTGGTCCAGCCCTTCGGGGTTACGAGAGTGACTCAGGTCAGATCGTTCCACCGTACCAGGTATCAACTGATTTCTGTATTAATTCTTTTGTTTGTTACAATCTCGCAATTCCAATTTCTTTTCCGTCATCAAAAGGGCACCTTAGTCCAGCTCTTTCGAGAGCTACGAGAATTTCTCAGGCTAGGGTATACCGCGGGCGGAAACCGCCAATTTTATAGTTAAATTTGGAAAGTGAAATTGTGATAATCATTGTCACGCGTCCGGTAATATACTCGTTGGTTTCAGTTGTGATATTAGAGCGCTTTATACAATCAGATTTTGTTAATTAATTTTAAGCATCTTTACATTTGTTCACATTTTTGCAAAACTGGTATTTTTTATATTAACGGAATTTCTAAATTATTAAACTCTCAATTTTGGCATTTCACAGTTACGCGCAACGTAACACATACCCCCCCCCCCCCCCCCCCCCCCCTCGCAGTACTATACCGCCAGGATATACACTCCTCCGCCGGCACCGATCTACGCTCTCCCGCCGGCACCGATATACGCCCCCCTTAATTATTGTCCCCCACAATATTTTCAATAAATATGTACATCTATAAGTGTATTAAATACAAATATTATAAACATACATTTCTCTTCTTTCCGCAACCTATCCCTTATTATATTTAAAAAATATAATTACTTATTACAACATGCATAAATTTCATCTTTCCGCATATGTACGTACTATTTACAAACTTCGCATGATATTAAAATTATTAGTAATTATTGAGATTAGGTTACACCTCACGGATTTTGATGAAATTTAAACATGTAAAATCAGACATTTTGAACAAGTTTTTCCTATACACATAACCGCCGCTCGAGATATTTTCGAAAAACTGTTGAAACTAACACATTGAATTCTGGCCATACGTGTGTGTCCGTGACAACGTACGCATTAATATGGGATCGCCGCTTTTCTATTGTTTTTGCAGGCAGCAACACGGCGACCGACATCAATATATATATACATATATTACGGGTGGGCTTAAAAATTAAATTTAACTAATTTTCATAATTTTGAATTGTCAGTATGTGTGTCTGGTCGCCTAACGGCGACCAGAATATCACTTTGCCTTTAATTCACTGATTAAGTAGAGTAGATTGGGTTAGGTTAGGCTATATTAAATTCCCAGTTGCCATCATAGCTACGATACATTGAAATCATGAATGCAGAAGTATACAAGGTATGTATTGGTCATCGGTCCCTGTTGCAGCGCAACCACGCATAGATTAAGACCGTTAGAATGTAAGTCAGATTAATTTTTAGAACGAAACAGACAACCGAAATCAAAGGAATCACGGGTTTTTCCCAATACAACAAAGAACCTCGCAATAAACAGTTCCACAGCCCAGAGACACTCCGACCTGCACCTTGGCAACAATACGACCAGTTTTCCTTTCTAACTAGAAATATTTTCGCCTTAATTGCCTACCACCGTTACTCGAAATTAATAAGTTTCCTGGAAGCGTCTTTCTTCGCAAAACGTTTTATTAGTGTCGAAAACGATTCCTGAGGCTATTGTCCGCCACGGTCACTCCGCAACCACCCTGCGGGAATTGCCCTGACGTCACAAGGGTAGCGTCGCAGGGGTAGCGTCACTACCTGGGACTAACACCGGCCACAAGTGGGGAATGTCGTCCCACTACCGCCAAAAACGTCTCCACCAATCAGAACGAATCACCCCCGCCTGACATCACCCCATCCGAGGTGACGAAAAAGCAAAACCTCTCCACGAGAACCAGAATCAATCAGCGAATCAATCGAACAACTCTTGTAATCGTTTCAACGTATCAACCAAAACAACATCTCCAACGTATATTCTGACATCTCGACATCTGTCGGTTCAAATAAAATATATAATTTTACAATTGTGTGTTCTTTCTACGAATCAAACCGTATCATGCAGACTTACTCTCGTTAATTCGAAGTAACGTCCGAGCTCATCTTGAATACACGAATTCTCAGAGCTCAACAGTCCCCGTGCTGTTGTCTGCAGAAACAGTAGAAAAGCGGTGATCCCATACTAATGCGTACGTTGTCACGGACACACACGGATGGAAAATTCAATGTGTTAGTTTCGACAGTTTGTCGAAAATATCTCGAAAACTAAGGCCGAGCGGCGGTTATATGTATAGGAAAAAGTTGTTCAAAATGTTGAGTTTTACAATATATTTAAATTTCATCAAACTCGGTGAGGTGTAAACTAATCTCAATAATTACCAAATTATTTTTTTAACAGAAAAAGATTATCTGAATAGACCTGCCTTAACACAATTCAAGTAAAAAATTACAGTGAGAACTACATCTGCATCCGTTGACTTCAGCACGACAAAGTAAAAGATCAAGCGGCATCCTTTAAACATATTCCATCTCATTTTATCTCGTTACGCGTATTCTCCTTCTTGCTCTTCAGAGATATGGCAACACTGAACTCGAGACACTGATTGTGAGTAAAGAGATATAGCTGTTGGTATTGAAGCAATTTTCCGTTATCGTCAACGTGCCGTAGACTGTTGCAGTGCGAAGTGTTTCATATTTTTGTACTAGGATAGAGCAGATGGCGTTCGTTCTCGAGGCACAAATTCACGACCCTTCCAGAACAAAGGCATGTTTAGTCTTGTTAGATCTGTAGTCACTGCAGCAACACAGCGGTGGCGCCATCTACAGGGCCTAGAGATAAGAACGCGAAGGTTTAAGGGCACAGACTCCTCCGAGGCCTCCTCCGAATCGATGTAAGCGCCATTATAAAGAATCGGGCAATCGTGAAAACATATAATTGATAAATGTGACATTTGACGGTGTGACATCTAACGTCATTATGTAGAATAAGAAACGAAAGTGAGGTGGCGTAGTTGTCGAATCACATCATTTGAGAGTTCTGTCGCGGTGTTGCCACATCTGTGACAATCCTGACCATCTAGCAAAATGAATTCGCTCGAGCCGAGCGAGATTTTGATTCCAGGCGGACATAGAAAAGGACAGCGCCATAGAAAGAGAAGGAGTATGATGAATCAAACAACGTAGTACCGATCGGCGGAAATACATATGTTCGAGTCACACGCCACGACAGATTCGATGAGACTGTAATACACATAATGTACGCGACTATAAAACTTATACGAATAAAAACTACATGGCATTAATAATTTCAGAAAGGGAATGGAAAATAAACACATGTATGTAAATTGATCTATATATACAATATGTATTTATTGAAATATTATCAATATATATAAACAATAATTGGCCGCCCGCCGCCCGCTTCGGCCTCTTCTTTCTCCGCGGCGTCTGCATCGTCGATTACCATGACAGCCATTACCATACCAGTCATGTGGTATTGAATTTGTTTTATCTGAAACATAATAATGAATGTTTTATAAGAAGAAAAAGCAATCATGGAAATTCAGTGGCTACTGTTGTAGACATAATTTCCATTTCACGAAAAATCTAATTCTGCTACATTTATTACATAGAAGAATCAACGCTTTTACTTACTTGCGACGTTGACGGCCTCGGATTCTCCTTTCTCTTCCCTCTTATCCGACTTCGTTCCTTAGACCTCCTTCTCCTGTTTCTTCTATCCTCTTTCTTTTCTTCTTCTTCTTCCTCGTCCATCTGTGAAGAAAGTAATTTATGTATAGATAACATAATATTAATTATGTAAGATTATACTTGCCGATTATACGTGATCAGACAGCATATTTGCAGTCCATTTGTCCTGGTAGGTAATGCTTTCTTGAATAGACCTATATATAATTTTTTAATTTATTTCGAGAAGAGGAAAATCCTGTTTTTAATTTCTGAACGACAAAAATGTTCATGCAAAGATGAAGATGAATGATGATAAATATTGAAAAAAGAAAAAGTTAATTGAAAAGATGATATAAGACATTAATAATTTCATGAAGGGAATAAGAAAAAAATTGTTTCAGCTCAAAAAATTAATTTAGAGTCCTACGCTCGCTTCGCTCCAAAAAACCTCTTCTCGGGAATCCTTTCTTCGAAAATCTGTAACAAATTTTAATAAATATAATACGGCATCGCGTAACTCACGAGATCGTATGATCCGCGAGTACAATTGCTATTTCATGCAATTGTGAACCACCAACAGAGTCAGTGATACTACACTTTACAGTGCAGTGCGACGCCGGACAGTAACAGTATTTTTGCGTCGAGCAACTCACGAGATCGTATGATCCGCGAGTACAATTGCTTTTTCATGCAATTGTGAACCACCAACAGAGTCAGTGATACTACACTTTACAGTGCAGTGCGACGCCGGACAGTAACAGTATTTTTTATTACTGTCCGCATAAGACCTTTTTTGACTTTTCAAAAGTCACTATTTTGAAATGTGTATATTGGCGTCGAGCAACTCGCGAGATCGTATGATCCGCGAGTACAATTGCTATTTCATGCAATTGTGAACCACCAACAGAGTCAGTGTTACTGCACTTTACAGTGCAGTGCGACGCCGGACAGTAGCAATATTCGTGCAACTTTCTGAGAGGGACCTTTTGCGCTTTTCCAAGCTTGCTCTCTCCTCTGTTATAAATTGAGGCTCCCGAATGGGCATTCCCCTATTGTACCGGCTATCTATTAATTCCGGTAACATGCATAATAAATAAAATTGAATTAATTTTGGCTCCATATTCTTTTGCCAAAAATTATCGTCTCTATCGACTTTAATGTACTTTAACCCTTTTCGGGTCCAAATACAAAATAAGCAATATTTTCTACCTGTGACATGTAGTTGTCCTTGTACTTGGTAGTAATAGTAGTGGTTCCTGTTCAATTCATTTCCTTCTGCGTCTGCAAATATACGCCGAATAGCTGCAACAGTTTTGATTGCCTCCTCCGGCAATAAATTCTCCGCCGTTTTCGGACATTTGATTTCCACAATGCCCTCTTCGTCTATAAGTCCATCTGGCGAAGCTCCTAAGAACGGGATGGCACTATCAATAAATAATCCACATTCTTTAATTTCAACACCAATGCACACACTTAGTTGTTCACGTGCGAATTTTTCGCATTCCTGTCCATATTGTACTGCAGGTGCACTAATCAGTCGTGGATACACTAACGACTTCACTGAATTTCCACAGAGCGTGCCAATTCGACGACGGCATATTCGTCCGAAATTTGAGGCCGTCAATAATTTAGATTTGTAATTCAACCATCTCGGATTTTTCGCTTGACCGATGGTTTCTTCTTCAATGGCATCTCTTCTATTTTGCCAATTCTGTAACATTTCCATATGTTTTTTTTTCTCTAATTCATAAATATTGTTAGCCATATCCGGCTTTTCAGCATTTGGTCCGTAATTGGAATCCTTTTCAGAACGGAATTGTTTCCGCACGTGCTTTGTAATTTTTTTTTCCTTTCTCTTTTCACTGTATTTCTCATTTTCTTTCTTCCTTCTATTTTCTATTTTGCGTAAAATAACGGGCGGTTCCTTGTTCATCGCCGTATTCAGACGCGACAACACTTGTTTTGTGTTATACTGTAGGACAGCAGCAGCACATCTTCCCGTGTAAGATCCCCTCTCGCCGAAATTCAATCTTTTTCCTCCTGTATATTTTGCGACGATTCCATTGAAACTTTCGACGGCATTATTGTTGCTGTTATACAGCAAACTCTCAGCATGCGCCAACAGAGGTCGAAGTATTTCTTTGATTTGTTCATACACTCCCATCTTCATCAATTCGGGAACAATGTCCTTTTCATCTTTTTTACTCGTTCCATCGCAGAAGTATTGTAGTTTTGAACAATCTGCATGTTCACCAAAAACATGGCTAGGAACATTGTGTATGTCGGCATACAAATTCTTAATTTTTTCAGCGGTTGTTACTTGCTGACTGTATCTGTACTCTGCGGCTTTTACTATATCCGCACGCATTCGCCGAATGCTGCTTTCAACGATTCTTCTGAATGGACCAGGTGTTGTCATCTTTACAACTTCTTTCATTTTTCTGCAAAAGTTTCGCAATAAATGATTCGTGCATTCAATTTTTTTTACACGAATCTGTGCTTTATATGGATCTGCGTCTATAATTTTTTTATAAACGCTGCTGTCCCCATCAGCAATCAGTGTTGAATAAATCAGCCCACGTTTTTCTACGCTGGTCTTGAAGCCTTCGACTATAGCGTCACTTTCCATAGCCGTTGATGCTTGGCTTGCGCTCCAATTTTTAAAACAGGTGTGCTTTCGTGGCTCTTCTTTCTTTTTCGCAGCACATCGACAAATCCTGCACACCTTGTTTCTCACACCGATAAATAAAACTTTCTTCGTGTGATATCCAATTATAACGCCGACTCCAGACGCGGAATTGTACGTTCCAGTCCGGTATGATCGTTTCATCCAGCTTCCATCGGCCACAACGGGGATGTGAGGGATTCCACATCCGGAAACAATATCGCCTCTTTCAATGGCCAAGCGTTTTTCTTCCTCTGCCGCTGTTACCATCTCTTCTTCTGCAGCAACAATTAGTGCTTTCACGATTTTATCGTGATGCTTTCTAAATTCTTTCTTCGACATGGAGGGTATGTTCATCGCTGCAAGGAACTCCTCCATTTGGGCATAACTGCCTCCATTCACAATTGTTCCAGCAACTGCACACTGGTTTGTTTCCATTTTATTGCTTTCGTCAGGTTCACTGTGGATTTCACCTTTATATTTGCACATATCGCATATTACACTGAGGATGGTCCTCAGGCCCGACCGTTTCATGCCGGTTATTTTCAGGTGTCTAATTCCACAGTCTTCCCTGTTTTTAGCATGGTCACCTATTTTCTGAAATTCAGCAAAGATGTGCTGCATGTCCACGATACTGAAGCCATTTGGTATACAGAATTGTTCTTCAGGCTCGTTCGTTACAACTTTCTGTATCATCAGTTCTTCATTTTCTGAATTTGTGCCTTCCATATTTATCCCATCTTCAGCATTGTTTGTTTCTTCAATTTCAAACAATTCATTCGTCGTTTCTTCAAAAATTTCTGTCGAATTTGCCGTTTCTGTTTCGTCATCCAATGGCAAATAAATTTTCTCGGGGGTGTACCTTTGTCCATCGGATGTTGATTGTACGGAACTTTTCTGAAGGGCTAACCGCCGCCTTCTTTCGCGGCATGCTGTTTTTTTCGAATATCTTTTCGTACTGATTGTATATTTTGGCCGACGACTTCTATTATCCGCCACACACTGATGTTCAGATTCATTTCTCCTATCTTCAATCACTTCAATCATGAGAACATTTTCACTATCACTCATTGTCACTATCACACCACAATATTCACCTCTCGCTTTGATCACTTCACACTTTCGAAGCTTTGAAATAAATTCAATGATGCTATCTATTTCTTGCTTCGAATGCAACTGTCGCGAAAACGTAAAATGCAGTACGGAGAAACATAGGGCACCATGGTGGGAAGTGTTTCTAAGGACTACGAAAAATAAAGAACAATGACCAAAAAAACTTTTGAAGTTGTATTCATTTATAATATTATGAATTTAAATTATAAAACAAAAATATAACATGAAAATAAAAATGTAATCCGTGAAATAAAAAATTAGAAAATAGGAAAAGGCCTATTTTATAAAACAGTGAACACGGTCCTGATCCCCACCACCATTCGAGTGGTTTCAGCATCAACGACAAAAGACAATCAAAGAAAGCAAGATGTCAGACCACGAGGTGCGTATAATCGGCCAGTAAAATATTATATCATTAATATTACGTTATTTATATATAAATTACTTTCTTTACAGATGGAAGTTGTGAACACAGACGAGAACAAAGAAGACATAGAAAATATACAGGGAAAGAAAGAGGAGGAGAAGCAGAAAGAAGGAAAAAACGGACAAGATGAAAAAAACAGACAAGAAGAGAAAGAGAAGCCGCTGTCGTCGTCGAAAGTAAGTAAAAACATTAATTTTTCTATGCAATAAATGTGGCCAAATTCGATTTTCGTGAAAAGAAATCATTTCTACAATAGTAGCAAATGAATTTACACGATTATTTTTTTTTTTTTTTTTTTTTAATAATGTTACAATTATAGTACAATTCATTATTATATTTCAGATTAAAAAATTACTGAAGAAAATAGTATATGGCGGCGGCGGTGGCCGTCGAGGAAAATGGGGCGGCCGCCGTGGAGGAAGGGGATGGCGTGGCGGCGGCGGCGGCGGCGGCAGGGGACGGGGCGGCGGCAGAGGATGGGGCGGCGGCAGAGGACGGGGCGGCGGCACAGGAGGGCGCAACGTTATTGTCAATTATTATTGAACAATTACAAATAAAAAAAAGTATATGATAAATTAGTACATATCTCTTTATTTCTTATTTCCTTTGTTGCGAATCTCCGGCGAATAATCGCGACGGACCCGCGGGCGAGAATATTCGCGACCAGAAATTCGTACGAGTGCGAGTGAGAAAGCAAGATGACAAAATTGATGTCGTTCCGTGCGACAAAACACAGTCTGTCTCGCAAAGCCATCGGTATCGTCATCTTGCTTTCTCACTCGCACTCGTACGCATTACACCGTCCGCGTGATCAGCTGTCACCGGCGAGCATCGGCCGGCGATTCTTTGTTTTCTATTTATAAACGCGTTTAGAATTAGTGTAAAACTGTTGCATCCTCACTCCCTCCGATTCACCTTCTTGAAATTATTAATGTCCTGCAGTTTTCATTCCTATAACTTTTATGGTCGCGTACGTTATGTGTATTATTTCGTTCTTGCTACCTCTCTTTCGTTCGCGCTGTCCTTCTGTATGTCCGGCAGGAATCAAAATCTTTTCAGTAAATAATAAATACATAAATAGGAACACAAACAGCACATGTATATCGCCTTCTATATCCTTTTGCATATAGAATATGCGAATATTGCGAAATGTGCAAGTTTTATAATTCATTTCTCTGGCATATCTCTATATTTTTCATTGATAAAAAAACATGATTATAAATATGAATAAAAAAGTTTTGTGGTTTGCCACACATTATGTATTGTTTCATTCTGAGACCTCTTTATCGGCTCGAGCTGATTCATTGTGCTGATGATTAGAATTGTAACAGGTGTGAACAGCGTGACAGAAGTTTTAATACGTTGCGGCAACTATGCCTTACTTGTGGCTATATTCGCCTAGCCATTTGTGGGGTCAAATTAGAATTTACATTTATCGACTGATCTGTGTTTTTATCGACCCCGATGATAACGTGGTCAAATATACCATCAATGCCTCTGACGGAGAATCACTGAACTATTCTTATGTCTATTTGACGTCTGATGCGTGCAAATCGTAGATTCCATTTTACGTCTTCCAGAAGTGATAAACTGTGAAAAATCGAATTTCAGTGATATTGTGCTACTTCAAGGGAAGTTGGTCTGCTCTGTTATCAGTGAAAAAACGATTAAATCGTCCAATATTCGCTAAAATGTAGCCGAACGCAGCATTCGGCAGCCATGTTGTTTGCTTACAACAGCGTCTGTCTCAATCGTACAGTTTCCAAAATTCCATTTTTCTCAACGTATGATGTTTATTATCGTTCAAGCGGACCAGACCGACCTGTAGCGAAGTCTACCCGTGTGTGCTGTACCCGCGAAAATTTCATTTATGCAATTATCGAGACGAAAAATGGAATCTACGAAATCGAGTGTCTCTCTCACACATGGCGTATACGTGCATGCTTTCCGTTGATTGTGTGAGTGCACGAATACAGGTCATGACACAAGGAGTCTGTGCCCTTAAGAAACGACGCAATAGACTTCCGTTACGAGTACTGGCGAGAACTTCGCGTCGCGAACAGTCGCAAATACGTTGTTGTATAAATAAATACTCGTTGTTACAAGCGCCTTAGTCATTTCGTCTCCAGGTGTCACAGGCCACAGTGTTATTGGGTTGAAATAAATGGGATAAACTGCATAATAAGAAAAAAGTGTGTGGGAATACATAGTATATCTGTAAAAATAATAAATAATACATTTGATGGCGTTCCTGAGAATCAACACGTGTTTTCCACCTAATTCGACTTCAGCAGCAACCGTAAGTGAAAATATAATGTACATAAATCGCAATTCAGCATTGTGCTTTTATTACCAATATAAAATCATAAAATAGTGTATTAAACTTACAATACAATTTATAATGGAAAATGAAGGAACATTTCTAGAAAACGGACCGTTTAGTGATTGCGACGGAGGTATACATACGTCGTTGAATTCGTTTTGGCGAGTACGTTACTAATTTGAGTATCATTATTTGTGGAAATTCATTTTTTTCGTGACTGTAAACTTTCAATAAAAAAATGAGGTTAAGTACACTTCGACAGATCTATGGGCAGAAATGGTACTTTATTACACTACAAATATTTATTCCGAATCATTTAAATTATGCATATTTATATTTTCTCTGGAATCGAATGAAATCTGCAATTTCTGTTAAGATTTCGTCGAACAAGTCTGCATTTTCGCTTTGACATTTTTGGTGAAAATATAATGGCTTAAATATATCATAAAGTTGTCCTTCTTGCTAGAAATAGAAAATATTAATAGCATTATAATTTATAAAAAGGACAATACATTAAAAAAATACGAGTAAAGTTATAAATAATAACTGATAACATTCTGGTAGAAAATGTTTGGTATGTGCTTCCTACAGTATTAATGCATGCATCTGTTAGAGGATCTTCAAAATTTATGCTATGGTTTATTTTCAAATGTTTATATCCTCCTTTCTCTAAAATATTGTAAAGCTTTACAGCTATCGGATGTATTTGTCTTTTGGGACCTAATCAATTCCTTTATAATTCCTACTAGTGTGAATCTCTACTTTCAGCAGACACTAAAAATACTTTGCTACTCTCTCTCTCATTGTCAGTGCCTCTAAACATCAGATGATCCCTCAACATAATGCCTTTTATGATATTTCCGTTTGCCGAATTTAGACTTGTCAATTTCTATAATTTTTCCTTCGCCACCAATTAGTTCACAAAAGTGATAACCAATCAATCATCACTTGTACAAAATATAACCATTGTTCCTATTCAGTTCCAATTCCCTTATAATATAACATTGGTCGTAGTTATACACAGGCATTAAAGTTAATTTTAATACTGTCTTGTAACTCACTTTAGTTTTTTAAAAAAATGTTCCTTTTTTCCTGATATTTTAACATTGCAAACTTTCTTCTTTTAGTTAGGATTAGCAGATGCTGGAATAGTCAATGTGCAACGACAATTTGCATCTACTATTTTCATTGAGTGTCCACATTGTGGACAATTCATTTCTGTTTCAATTAGCATCATATTGTGTAGAAATTTGAATAATGAATTTTGATCCTGACAAAATTCATGAACATTAATCAAGTTCCATTTTTTCGGAATTATACATATGTTCAGTCATTTTGATTATGGAACTCGCTACAATCCACAAAGTACAAAAAATCAAAAAAAACCAGCCTTAGTAGTTTGAAACCAAAGGAAAACACATTCTTCATTTATTAATTACTTGAATTTCACTTTTCAAATTCCTGCAGAATAAAGTGTTAATAAAGTAAGAAATGAATTGTCCACAAAGTGGCAATGCTACAAAAATGAAAACCGAATCTCTCATACTTGTTGAAAGTAGGGATACTAATATTGCTACCATGAAAGTGCTAAAAATTTTAATTCAAATGTTAGTGCCAGCCGGCCATTAATATAACCTATCTTGACCTCATCTAATTTAATTTAACCTGCTGAATAGTCCGTTTCCTAGGAATATGCTAATTCGAGCTAAGAAAAACTGAAAATGCTGCATAAGTGAAACTTATTCCATTTCTTAACAACACAGAAATGATTTTAATCATTAAAGCGCAATGAAAAATATTTATTATATTCTAGCAGAAATAATAAGTATTTACTATCTATGGTAATATATAGACAATATTACTTTTTATATAACAAACAGCTCGTTTTGTTCAGTTCTCTATTAACACATTATCCATCAGCCATAAATAAAATAGATAATCACTATCACCTTACAACTTAACAGTAATTAAAGATAAAGCATTGTAATCCTTTTTTATTTTTTCTTAATAGAAGTACATCTAACTTTCATTATTTTAACTGAGTTATATGTATGCAAATTTGTAATAAACAGAAAGTTAATAATTCATTTTCCATCAACAGCCCATGGTATTGAAGAAACTATTAATAGGCTTCCTGTAGATGAAGTGTTAATGGAACAATGCATGTAGATCATATTATAACATCTTGTTCTTGCTTTAATTATCATATGGTAATAATAATACATGTAGGTAATTTATTACAGATAAAATAAATTATATGCTAATATGCTACGTTGTTTACGTCATAATCTTTATGACATTAACATATTTGCAAACATAAGTGGGAAACAAATGTTGCATGTATTAATGAAACAGTGTAAGTGATGTTAACAGTAATTTAATATTACCAACTTAAGAAACTATATTTTGTTATTAATTAACATTATTCAATATCTGTTAAGAACAAAGTGTTCTGCGTTAAAAACTAACATATATTATTATTAGTCAGGGATTTTAGTAACGATTCGCTTTTGCAAAGAAACACTCGTTTTCGGTTTTCCGCACGTACACATTTTATTCTACATATACAGCCACGGAGACAACAACCACGATTAACACTCTTCACTCGTGGGGCGTACTTAAAGACCCAAAACATATATGATGTCACGCTCTTTTGTCTATATGTTTACATATTTACATTTGTACAGAGATGGCTGGATCTATACGTCTGTGAAGCTGGCCCCTCATTATCAAAAACTTGAAAAATTGATAAGAGTTCTGAATGCCCCCTAAGAGTCCTAGAGTTCTCTATCAGTTTTAAAAATAGTTTCGTCGATTAAAGTATCGAAAATAGCATTTGAAAACTTTGAAAAGCTATAACTTTTTTGCTATCAACTTCAGCACTTTGGTTGTTAAGGATAATTGATAGAACTGTTTGGGGGGCTACCAGAACTCTCAGCAAAATGGTCGATTATAAAAAAAAATTTTTTTGTTAATTTTAGGGGTGAACAGTTCTGACAGCCTCCCGAAGAGTTCTATCGATAATTATTAACAGTCAAAGCGCTGCGATGCGAAATAAAAAAGTTCTCGCTGCTCGAAGTTACAGGATCGAAAATTATTTGTCCATAAGGGTGAAAATTTTTCTTGATAATTGACAATTCTGTTGAGAGCTCTGATTGCCCCCCAAAGAGTTCTATCAATTATCCTTAACAACCAAAGTGCTAAAGTTAATAGCAAAAAG